CATCATCTTGATTATCATTTTCTCTCCATTTCTATGTCCAAAATGCATGAATCCCGACAGATTATAGGGTGCCTAACCATGTTTGCCTCTTGTACAAATCCTTACATGGCCTTAAACAGCCCCTTAGGTAGTGGTACAAGAGGTTTGACATCTTTATTGTGAGCATAGGATTTACTAGAAGTAAATAAGGTAGTTGCTTCTACTTTACTGTGAATGAGAACATGCCAATATATCTATTACTATATGTTGATGATATGTTGCTGGTTAGCAAGTCTAAGTCTAGAATACATGAATTGAAGAATAAACTCAGTTCTGAGTTTGACATGATGGACTTAGGAAATGCTAAGAAAATCCTAGGCATGGTCATAAACAGAGATCTAAAAAAAGGTGAGATAAAAATTAGTCAACACCCATATCTAAAGAAACTGGTAACTAAGTTTGGGATGGTTGATCTCCAAACTATTTTTTATGCCTCTAGCTAGTCACTTTGTGCTGACTAAAACCCAATGTCCCAAGACTGATGCTGAATTAACAAGGATGGAATCTGTCCCATATGCTAATGTAGTTGGATCTGTGATGTATGCCATGATAAGCACTAGGCCAGATTTATCCTTCGTTATTTCTATGTTGAGCAGATTTATGGCCAACCCTGGTAGTAAGCATTGGACTGCTTTGAAATGGGTTTTAAGATATATTAATAGCTTACTTTGTGTTGGATTAGAATTTTGTAGAAGAAATACTTCACTTGATCTGGTTGGTTTTGTAGATTCAGATTTTACAGGTGATAAAGACTCAAGGAAATCAACCACATCCTATTATTTCACCATCGATGGAAACTGCATAAGCTAGAAGTCTCAGATATAGCATATGGTAACCCTCTCATTGATTGAAACTAAGTACATAACCATTGCCGAAGTGTTAAAAGAGGCTTTGTGGCTGCAAGGAATACTATCTGAGGCAAACTTAATAGATGGGAAGGGAATTATCTACTCAGAAAGCTAGAGTTCAATCCATCTAAGTAATAACCTAGTTTATCACGAAAGGACAAAGCATGTGGATGTTTGCTTCCACTTTGTGAGAGATCTGGTCACTCAAGGAGTGATTGATTTGATAAAGATTGCCACCGAAGACAATCCAACAGACATGGGCACAAAAATTGTCACTCCTGCCAAGTTCAAGCATTGCTTTGACTTGTTGTTTGTGAAGTGGGAAGAAGTGGCAAGAGCTATGAGGGACTTGGTTGTGAGCTTGCTGCATTGAAGGGGTTTCAAGTCTTCAAGGTGGAGATTGTTGAAGTGAAGGCTTGAAACGACATCACTTTGGGAGTTATTTGAACGCTGTCGTTTTTGGGTTTGGTTGAGTTGGATCTTGACCATTGATCCAACACTAATCCAATTGCTGAAATCGTCAACTTTGGTCAACGGTATAAAAGCAGCCCAAATGGTAGATTCACGCGATTGAAGCTTTCTCTCTTGTTGAATCAAAATTGTTCTCTGCTAGGGTTTGAAGTTTTGTGTTATGAAATCATTGTAACTTGTGAGGTTTTCACTAATTAGGTCTTAGTCATTCAGTAAGGTTTTATTGCTCTTAATCTAGGGATTCCTAAGTGAGTTTCTCTAGGGTTCAAGTTGCGGATAGATTTCTGTTTAAAAGGAAAGAGTTTAATCGATCTGTTAAAGGATTGTAATCATTGAATCTTACAATAATAGTAGTGCAGTGAGCTCTCCCATTTCCGAAGCTCAATGTGGATGTAGCTTATCCAAATCTTGGATAAGTGAACCACAGTAAATCTTTGTGTTCTTGTTCTTGATTTGTTGAATTGTGTGTGTGTATGAGTTAGTTGGTTTGGATTATTCATAACATGATGGTTTTGCTTTTTAGTTTCTTTCAAGTCTGTTTCTACAATTTTCTCACTGCTCTGTTGTTTCTCTTTCAATCATGCTGTTAACTCTTGGTCAATTTTGCTCAAAACTTTATACTTAAACAGGAGAAATAAATAACATGAATCATGGTAGCAAGTCCTCTGCAAGCAAGTATTGTCTTTCATGTATCACAATGTAAGTAACTTTCTTTTAAAAAAGCCTTTTCTGCGATATTTTCTCTTTATGAATAAGCCTCAAATGTTTATTCTGGTCAACACAAGAATATTTTTCATTCAAATCGTAAATGTATACAAACTAAAAGTTTTAAAGCAAGTATTCAAATCATAAAGAATATTTTCTCTTTATGTGGTATTTTCTCTTTATGAAAGGTCGAAATTAATTATATTTAAATTATCTGAAGCAACCAGCTATCTCTTTGAATTTTATATTTATGCTTCAAGACTCAGGTAACATATATAGTGGGATTCCGATTTGAATAAAGAATCATTAAATTTATATGTTTCAAATAACATAGATGCCTCTTACCTTATAACGTTGAAATTAATTATTAAGAAAACGTTATATCTATATGCTATATATTAAATTGCATCACTCCAAAGATATTGAGAGAGAAAAGCTCAAGTCAATTTCTTATTGAGAAAAGCTCAGGCATCCATTCGAACAAAATCTTAGTTTAATATTAAAAAAAATTTTTAGGTAATTGGTAATTTTATAAAAATAAAAAAAATATACACCTAAAAAGGGGAAACCCTAAACGAAGGAAGTCTTGAAATGAACAAGGGAAAAGCTTACAAAAAGAAGCACAAAGAGCCCGGGAAAGCAAACCAAAACAAAACTTTACAAGCCTCAGGACAGCAACAAGTATTAAAATTTTTATTGAATGATTGTATAAATAATGTAGTAAACTTGTTTGATTTATGAAAAATAGTAATTTGCATTTTCTTGACCATTCAAAAAATGCCAAAAACATTCAACTCATTAATTTTTCTGGCTTTCATTATCCATATTTCAAACGAATTGGAATTACAGGTGTGCTTAGAATTGTGGTTGACCAGTTGGTATGTAATATGTATGGACCAATTTGCTACTTCTGGAATAGTAATAATATGCATAAACTATTAGGCTACTAGAGATTAGCTCTTCTCTAATATCTATATTTGGAAATTTGTAGCATTAAGAGTTAAAATTATGTTATGCAATCAACCTATAATGCAAACTGAAACAAACCAGAAACCAGAAAAACAAATAATAAACACCGGATCTTTATCGTGGTTCACTTGCCCAATTTGAGCAAGCTACATCCACGTTGAACTCTGGAAAAGGAGTTCGCTGCACTATGATTAAAGAACAACTGATAACAGTCACGATTACAAAGAACGACACCCAAGAAACCCAGATCGAACAACTCTGATCTGAACCCGTAATCTGCCCTAGGACTCCTCTAACCTGGAAATCCCTATAACAAGAACACAGTAGTTCTTCCCTTGATTGATTAACCCAAACCACTCAAGAAACCCACAGATTACACAGAAATCAGACCCAAAGAAAGAACCCTAGTTTTTCTAAGAAAAACGAAAAACTGCTCTCAAACTTTTTTTTGTGTTTGATCTACTGTTACAACAGGAAACCCTAATCCTTTTATAGTGTTGACTGGAGGCTTGATCTCAGCCGTTGGCTTTTCCTCTGAATAAGCGGTCAGGATCATCCAGGAGCTGTCTCAAAACGACACCATTCCATTAATTCAGTACGACGCCGTTTCAGCATTCACTCACAACAAATTAGTATCCAGATTTATTATTTCATGCATGTATTTCCTAACTGAAACTTTTTGCCCTAAAATTTGTATGAAAATAATTTAAAAAATCTCTATATGTCATGTTTGATATTTGTTATTTCTTGAAAATATTTGCTTTAGATTAATATTTTTAAGAAAAAATTTAGAATTTAAATTTTATAAACGACTAAAAAGTTTAAACTGATTTTCTTGTTCTACATATAATCCTTGGTTGAAGATAAGGTTTTTTTTTTGGATTACAGGAAATTATTAGGTGCTAATGATATATGTAGTTTTATTTCATAAGGGCTCCCTCAACGTTTAGGATAAATCCATATGAAAGGTAGTTGGTTAGTGTCTCAAATTAAGTCAATAAATTAAGTTATTATAGCCTAACCTCTCTCTCTCTCTCTCTCCCTATATATATATATATTGACAAATCTCAATGGAACAAGAAACTTCTGTTAATGGGAAAAACAATACACTTAATTAAGAAGACATAATAAGGCTTACTATGTAAATTTTATTTTATTTTACATAAAAAAGAAACTCTATTTATGTAACTATAAATAAGAATGCAATGCAAATGACTGAGGGTGTGGAGGTATATAAAAGGATTGAATTTTTTTTTTTTTTTAAGGATTAATAGGAAAAGGATTTTTTTTTTTTTTTTAAAATTAAGATAGATGAAATAAAAAAATATTTTTCTTAATAAGTATTGATATACAAATTGCGATTATCTAATTGTTAGGATTATAAATTCTTATTTGATATAGAATGATTAGAAATAACTTTTTTTTCTTTTAAAAATAAGTATTAATGTATAATAATAATAATAATAATAATCAATGATTATATTTTATTGTATGAGTAATTTTTATTAACAAAACCATTAAGAGTTATCCCAGTATCATCAAAACCCACTTTTATATCATAATTCACCCTATTCTAACCCTAATCTAACATTTTTATTTCATACATTTGACTACAGCTCAACCTAGTCTAACTCGGGGTATAGCCCGGTCCCGGTCGGCCAAAATGTGGTTCCACCACTAAATTTAAATAAATTACTCATTAAATTTGTACATTCAAATGTTTGGGGTTTCTTCTTCAATACTAGAAGAATAATAAATATCTGAATAGATTTCTACTTTAGCCGGAATTCAAATTTGACACTTCGTTTAGACTTTAGAGCCAAGAATTTACTAATTGGCGCTAATTTAAAATTTTCTTCCTAAAACTCGTGGCGCCTTATCAAAATCTTTTTATTGGCCCTCTTAAGTTTCACGCGGATCGTTATCCGAGTCAATCACTCTCCAACACTAACAGCCGTCCGATTCACTCTTCAACCCCGAAAATCTCCCTCTCAAAAAGTTTCGAAACCCCAACCAAAATTTTAACAACTTCCCGCCTCTCTCCTTTCTCGTCTACAAATACCCCAAACACTCAAATTCCCAACTCACAAGATCGCAATTTTCCTTCTTCTACTTTCTCGAGAAATAAACAAACACCTCAATCTTCAAAACTTTAATCCAATGGCCCGTACAAAGCAAACCGCCCGCAAGTCCACCGGAGGCAAAGCTCCAAGAAAACAACTGGCCACAAAGGCCGCCAGAAAGTCAGCTCCAGCCACCGGCGGAGTGAAAAAGCCTCATAGGTTCCGTCCGGGGACGGTGGCTCTCCGAGAAATTAGAAAGTATCAGAAGAGCACTGAGCTTCTCATTAGGAAGCTGCCGTTTCAGAGGCTGGTGAGGGAAATCGCTCAGGATTTCAAGACTGATCTGAGGTTCCAGAGCAGCGCCGTGGCGGCTCTTCAGGAGGCGGCGGAGGCGTACTTGGTGGGTCTGTTTGAGGACACTAATTTGTGCGCTATTCATGCTAAGAGGGTCACCATTATGCCCAAGGATATTCAGCTAGCTCGCAGGATTAGAGGTGAAAGGGCTTAAGAGGAATGTGATTTGTGATTTGTGTTTATTTGGTGTTTTTAAACTTGGGGTTTGTGGGTAGATTAGCATTAGATTTGGTTTAGTTTGTCTTGCACGCGATGTGTTTGTTAAAATTCCTGTGAAGGTTGGTTTGAGGTAATAGATCATTGCCTTTTTGTCACTTCTATTTAAGCGCTAATGAAATGGAATGGGTAAACATTGTTATTTATAACAATACATCCAGTCGATCTTCAACAATAATGAGAAGTTTCATGTCAATTCTTTATGTGATTTACAATTGGTATACAATAAATTTTTAGAAATTTTGGGGAAAAAAAATTTACATTTATAAAACTTAAGAACCTGAAAGGTAGATTTTAGTAATTTTACAACTTTCAAATTTAAAAGATCATAAAAAAAAAAAAAAAAAAAAATTTAAACCTTTTTGCATTTATAAATTTGACAAAATGTGGAATTAGTCGTTCAAGTTATTGGTCTTGGACAATCATATAGACAAAGAATAATATTATATATATATAAATTCGAAGTATAATGTTTTATAAGACGATTGAATGAATCAGCTTTAGTAAATACATAATAAATTACGTTGAAGAGTAATGTCGATCATTTTGTATGAAATATTTTATACCAACATTTTGTTAGAATTAATGTGCGAATAATCTTTGGTCAGCCATTGAGCAACGTGGAGCTACAGCATTGGGTTTCACAGGGTTGCAATGATATGAAAATCCCAATGACTGGAGCTCCAAATTAGGTGAGTATAAAATTTAATTGTTCCATTTTTTAAATGTGTTTTTTTACCTGTATTATCATTGAATCGCCCCACATACCGTATTAACAAATACTTCTTTTTGAGTTCGTTCTAGCTTTAAAATAATACATGTTCTTCCCTAGATACCAACAACAAAAGCATCAGATTGTGCCTGATTCAACCAAACAGTGAGATGCAACGCTTTGTTTTGTCTCATCATCTCTTTTCCTAATTTCTTAACTAAAGTAAACCCAAACTCCCACCTGTGCTTAGACCACAAACACCAAATTGGTGTGATTTTTGGTATATTTTATTATTGCATCTCTAATCCATTGCACCAAATATTACATCAAAGAGGCGTTTGGTTGGGGGTTATCTGAGATTACTAAGATTAAGTCATCTTATAAAATACTGGTAATCTTTAAATATTTGATTATCATGTTTTGTTGTCAAGTAATATAAGATACTGGTAATCTTCAAATACCAATAGTGATTACTATTGGTAATATTGGAGATAATCTGATTACTTCCATTTTTTTATGTATTCTAAGATTATCAGGGTTATCTTTTTCTGTTACAATTCTATCCCTTATTAATAAAATTTTAGGACAATAATGCCCTTATTTTTGAATTTATTTACATGAATATGGCTTTTATTATTTCACCCCAATTAATTAACATTTTGGACAAAATTACCTTTAAATTCAAAACAAATTACAACCCACCCAGGCCACCACCCCCACCCCCACCCACCTATCGTCGCCGTCGGAATGGTGCACGGAAGGCCGAAAATGGTCGTCGTGCGTCGATATGGCCATTTTCGGTCAGATCAATGGTTGTTAACGACCATGTCTGTGGTCGTCAACGGCAACGTCTGTGGCCGTTAACGGCCAGATCTATCACGTTTGGACATTTTCGGCTAGATCTCTGGCCAAAAATGGCCATATGGCGCACGCAGGCCATTTCCTTCCTGCCTTGCGTCGTTAGGTTGTCGGCTGCCGGCGGTCGGCAGTGGTTAGGTTGGTGGGGGTGCTTTGTTGATTTTTCAAACTTTTATTATGGGGTTGTTTTTGCTAAGTTTTGAAATGTAAGGGGGCTGTAAAAATCCAAATAATAATCAATATTAAAAAATAATATAATAATAATATTTAATTAGAGGACAATTCAGTAATTTAAATAACATACCCACCAATTTATTCCTCCCAACCAAACATATTAATAAAACATGCCTACCAATTAACCAAACATATTTTCCTAAAAATTCCTAGTATAGCGATGCTACAGACACCAAAAATGGGTATCGAAAAATTACACCGAAATACGTGACCTCTGACTCAGACATCACCACGTAGGACACGATAAAAGACTTTCGTAAATGGACGACCGTCCAACATTTTCGAACGGCCGTCCATACTTCGTGGACGGCCGTTCATTCAGGAATGGACGACGGTCCATGGCAAATATTTAAAAATAAACTAAAAATCAATGGACCACCGTCCAAATACCAGGGACGGACGTCCCTTTAATATAAACGGCCATCCAAATTATATGGACGACCGTTCAAATTAATAAGCACACTAGATGGACGCTTGTTCATCTAATGTGGACGACTGTCCCTATGAAATGGACGGTCGTCCACAATAGATGGACTGGCGTCCACTTAGTGTTAAAATATTTTTTATAAAAATTAAAAACAAAACATTGGATGGACGCCAGTCCATCTAGTATGAATGGCTGTCCCTTTTATAGAGACGGTCGTCCATAATAGATGGACTGACATCCATAAGCAATACGAATTTTTTTTTCAAAAATGAAAACAAAAAAAAAAGATGGACTGGTGTCCATATCGCTGTAAAATTTTTAAAATTTCAACTTCAGCTACATCTTCTTCACACCTTTTATCAAGCTCTCGTTCTCTATCTCGTCTCTCTTCTTATCAACTATGTGGGTTTGATACCATTCTCATGTCCCAGTAACTGCAAGTCTGCAACAACGTTAATGTCAAGAGAAGACATGTTGGTGCCGGTGACAAGTGCATGGTTGTCGGGACGGCATCAAAGGCTGAAACCAAGAAGAAAAGTGTGTTTGAGATTCAAACACTCACAAACTGGTTGTTGAAGCAGGAACAAGCTGGCGTTATTGATGCAGAGCTCACTATTGTGCTTTCAAGCATCTCTACGGCTTGTAAGCAGATAGCTTCTTTGGTTCAAAGAGCCAGCATTTCCAACTTGACTGGCGTTCAAGGTGCTGTCAACGTTCAAGGGGAGGACCAGAAGAAGCTTGATGTTGTTTCAAATGAGGTTGGTAGGGCTTGCATTGGGAGTTAATCATCTTGACTGCATATAACAAGTCAGACTCTACCCAAAGGTTCCGAATGCCCATTCGCGAAGCCATCTCCACCATATGGCAGATTGCATAAAGTTTCACTTTCCAAATCTCTCTCCACTCAACCGTCTTCCGGAAAGCCCAAAGAGGATGGCCGAAAAAGTCCCGTGCTATCGCAGCCGCAGCAGCCTCTATTGCTACTGAACTATCTGTGTTCACTTTTGTTTCCAAAGGGTTCGAAGAAGAGTAAGATTCAGCCATTTATGGCTGAGCAGGGTGACCGTGCATTACCCAAAACGGAGTGCAAAAAGAGTCCATAACTCTCAGTTTAATCTGAGAGGAAACCGAATGCAGTCTTAGTTTGACTTCCCTTACAATTTTCCAAAACGACATTCTGCTTACTGATTACATGCAGTCTCAGTTTAACTCTTTAATATATATCTACAAAATTGTGTATGTTTAAGTTGGTAGAACAAATGAGATGGACTGCCGTCCGCATGAGATGGAAGGTCGTCCACATGAGATGGACTCCCATCATCTCGTGTGGACGGGAGTCCATTATTTTTTATTTTTTTTTTAAATTACTTTTTATGGACCCTCGTCCATTCCACTATGAACGGTCGTCCAAAAAGTATGAACGACCGTCCAAAATCATTGGACGGCTGTCCATTTAAGTCAGTGTTCTATCGTCTAACGTGGCAACGTCTACGTATTTCTGTGCAACTGTTCGATACCAATCTTTTGGTGGATATAGCATTTTTGTTCCTAGTAATCTTCAAGGTAATCTATCTTTCCAGTAATCCAACATTCCTAGTAATCCAACATTCCCTGAACCAAAAGCCTCCCAAAAGATTATTCTTTTTTTTTTTTCTTTCTATTAACAATCAATAATTAATATATTTAACTAATTATTTTTGTATATATTAGTTAAATATTGGGAATAATATTTTTATTAAATAATAATAACTTTGAAAATTTTACAAATTTAATAAAATTAAGTATTTATTTAATCAAATAAACATTACATTTAATATAAAAAAATTACATACCAAAAAAAAAAAAAAAAAAAAAAAAAAAAAAAAAAAACAACAACAACACAAAAGTAAAATTCCATATTGATAATAATTTAATTTTCTGAATTAGTATATTCTTTCTACAAATGATCAATTAATGTATTTCGAAGAGCATGGTGAGCCTCTGTATCCTTGATTTTTCTATGTCGAGCAAGAAAATTTTGAAATCGGACATTTTGAAATCGGATTTGAATTCCATAACTGATCCAAGCCTGCATGAGTTTTTTCAAAATGAGCAAATTAAGAATTATGCAAAAAAGAGTTCAACAATAAGGTCAATGATCTCAAAATAGTTCTAGTTCTTTCCAATATTTTGATGATCTTAGAGGATCCGAAATTAATCTACCGGAATACTAAATTGTTATTTTAGTTTATGTTGTATTTTCTTTTAATTTTAGTGTTTTTAAATTAGTGTTATTTTTATTTTGAGTTATTATAGTTTAATATTTGCATTGAATAAAATTTTGTTTTTCATTTTTTATCATTTTTTGAATTATATAATTATTATGAATTTATTATTATAAATAATAATCAAATTAACATAGATACAAATAACAAAAGTAAGAAAATAAAATATAATTTATAGTAGATGAATAGTGCTACACCAAATTGGTGTGAATGAATAGTGTCGTACCAAATTTGGTGTGAGTGACACTGTTCACTTACACCAATTTGGTGTAGTTTTTGGTGTTGGGTTGAAACACATTTTTCACACTATTTTGGTGTTGGCGTTGGGTTGGAGATGCCTTAATAGTGTCATGTCAAATTTGGAGTAACATTATTCATCCATACCAATTTGGTGTGACACTATTCATCTACTATAAAACATGTTTTATTTTTTTAATTTTTGTTATTTATATTTATGTTAATTTGATTATTATTTATAATAATAAATTTATAATAATTATATAATTCAAAAAATGATGAAAAATTAAAAAGAAAATTTTATTCAATGTAAATATTAAACTACAATAATTCAAAATAAAAATTAACACTAATTTAAAAACAGTAAAATTAAAAGAAAATACAACATAAACTAAAATAATAATGACATTAATGTGTTGGAGACATCTCATCTGTTGGTATGAATATCTTCGAGACGGTATGAGCTTGATAGCTAATACATTTTGTCTTTTAGACACTTGTTAAGCTGACATCAGCATGACCTTTTAGGCATAATAACATACAAATTATTAATTTCAACAAACAATCAATTTAACTCATTCAAACACATTAGATTTTTGAATATTTACATGCAAATTACCGTTAATTATAAACTTATAATGCATAATCATGTGATTTAACAGTTTAATTACATTTAATTTCTTACTATATTATCTCTATACTTTTTATATCAATTTGTATAAAAAAAAAATTGAATAAATAATTTGTGAGTACAATAGTTATTATTGTTTTGCTAAATTCAGCTTAGTGTGAAATACGATGTATAGGTTTGAGATCTTTTAAATTGAAAAAATAATTATTTGACTAAAATTTTCAACAATGTTAACTTAAAATCTTGACTTACAATTTTCAACAATCATTTATTTAATCCAGAGGTGCAGAGTGGTAATGAATTAGAAAAATCAAATATGATTTTTTTTTTCAAGTTAAGCTTTTAAAGTTAAAATTATTAGGTGAAAGATGCAGGCCCCGTATTAATGTTTTTACTTAATCAAAAAAGTAAACGAAATAATGTATAGTCTAACTCTTCATTATTTTATTTCATAAGAAGTTGACTTCTGCTTTGTAAATAACAACTGGAATTTCTAATTCTAAGATTAATTAAAACGCTTTTGTGCCACGTATGCTAATAAAGTTTCATTTAACAAAGTTCACATACGGAACATCTTTAATTACTATCCCAACTAAATTCAGAAAAAAGAAAAAAGAAAAAAAGTTTCCTCATCTCTATTAAAACCCCAAACGTTCAACAACAATCTAAGCCTTACTCCCCCAAAAGGCACCATGCCATATTCAAGAATGGGTGCCACCAACATAGCCACCGGTGTCACCGCCGTGGAGTGCCAAAAACAAGTGCGCTCATGGAGGCTTCTCCGTTGTCTCATCCATCTCCTCGTTCCAAGTTGCAACGGAACTACTTTCATTGAAGAAAAAGAAAATTACGCTAATAATATCCACAACCATTTCCATCCAAAACCCGTCTGCACCACTTCATCCAATACAATCACCGGCACCATGTTCGGCTACCGTCGAGGCAAAGTGAGATTCTGTATCCAAACACACTCCAAATCCACCATCCCCGTTCTCCTCCTTGAACTCGCAGTTTCCACGAGTATATTAGCTAAAGAAATGCAGGGTGGGATTTTACGTATTGCTTTAGAGTGTACAAGTTTTGGATATGGTGATGATGAGTCACTTATGTCCACGCCAGTGTGGACTATGTACTGTAATGGGAGGAAAGTTGGTTATGCAGTGAAGCGCAAAATATCAAAGGCCGATATGCATGTGCTCAGGCTGATGGATTTGGTTGTTGCCGGTGCTGGTGTTATTAATGTAAAGGCACTCGATCAAGATCATGACGATGAACTCATGTACTTCAGAGCAAATTTCAAGAGAGTTCGTGGCTCATCTAATTCTGAATCTTATCATTTGATTGATCCTGATGGGAATATTAATGGTCGTCAGGAGCTTAGTGTTTTCTTTTTTCGTTCTGGGTCAGCATAGATGGCTTCATTCATTGAGGTATTGTATTTTGCAAGTGGCCTGGCGTGCAGCATTGGCGACATAAACTTTGGGATGTTTTATTATAACCCAATTTTTACACCCTTTTTTGAGCTATGCCTAATTATCTACATAGCTTTTCTTGGCTCACCACTGTTTAATTTTTTTTTTTCCCGGATAAAATTTAGGCTAGTAAATCTTAAAGTTTATGGCTTTGTAATTTACTGTGACAATTCCGGAAATGAACTGTTGAGCTTGTTTTTGTCTTACTTGAATCTTGAATGAATGTAAATATCAATGCCGGTTTGGGTGAAGATTAGCTAGCCTCGTTGACATCGTTTATTTATTTTAAGTTTTTGATAGTTTGATTTCAGCAAAAGAATTTGCATCCATCAAACATGCAAGCAAATGTGTTTTTCCATCAAGAAAATGAAAGAACATGGTTTATCATCTCCATAAAAAAAAAAAAAAAAAAAAAAAACACTAATTCTGGTGCTGGGTCGGCGGACTGCAGCCACCGTCCCCATGCCACACGCCCACCGACTTTGTGGGGCTGTGGCTCGCCTTCCAATCAGTTCAGCTGATTCCAATTTTCTGAATACCCAACAGGAAATATTGCATCTTCCAATAAAGGCTCAGACGTTAACAGAACGGCTATGTACGAAACTTTTTATTTTTGATAAAATCAAATAGTAATTTTGATGCAACTATTTGATGTTAGTAGCTATCAATTTAATTTATATAGTAATACAACAATGTCCTCCAATTATTTATGACTAACTTCAATATACCATGTCACATAGACAATACGACATTTCATATCAACAAAAAGATATACATGTGATTTCTGTAATGCTACAAAATCTGTATCTCAGAGCAATCCTCCAAATAACAATAGGGTTCAATCTTATTTTTGATATTTAGGAAATTCTTAAAGAGGAATTTATGATTTAGTTCAAGATCTATATCCTAGAGAAATTCTCAAAAAAAAAAAAAAAAATAAATAAATAAATGAATGAATAAAAAAAAAATCAGGTTCAATCTCCTTTGTCTGTGGACAATTCTTGAACAGGAGTATGGTGTAGTTAGCCAATATACATTTTGCATTAGCAAATATAAAGTGACAAGGAATAAATATATCTCCTCAATATTTAAGTTGTATATTGTCTTCCGTCTACGCATACATAAATACTCAAAATTATAAAATACATACATACACTTTTAAATATGAGTAGTGATATTTTATATTTCATTAAGTGGGTCTTTCTTTATTACATGAGCTGTTGTTGATTCCTTGTGTCGTTTTGTCAAGAATTAATGGACACAATAGAGATTATGTGATACTGTACGGCGCACATGGAATGTGGATAATCATTGATGCTACTTATTGCTACCATTCTATTGATCATTACGTATATTTTCTATTTAATTTCACATTTATATCAAAATATTAGATTTTTATAAAGGTGGCTTGGGCCCAGGTTTGAGTTAATTAAAGTTTAGTACATACCCAAATGGCTCCCATTAAAATCGTTGCTTGCAAGTATTGGAGGACACCAAAAATTATAAGCCTTAAACAATACTTCTCTTAAAACAGTTATTTCAAGTCTTTCAGGTTATGTTGGAGTCAAAAATCCAAACAAGGAGAGATATGCGTAAATAATTTCACAAAATAATAAATATTAAAACGATAATAATTTTATTTAATATAATTGAAGTAGTCATTAACACTTTTTTTTTTTTTTTTCTATTTAATTTTTCAAATCATTGTACATTACTTTGATTACAATTTGTTGATGGGGCGTTTTGCATCAACGAGAAGTACACATGATTCTAGGTGAATCTACGTAGGAGCTTGTTTAAGACTTGAAGGTTTGATGCAGAATCAATAAATGTAAGAAAACATATCGAACAACAGGGACAAAAAAAAAATTTTTAAAGTGGTTTGGATACTTAAAACAAACATAAACAAAAATCATTAAACACAAACAGGAACAAAAATAACCACACAAAATCAAACAAACAAGAAAATTTTCAAATTTTTTCCCTATCTCCAAACTTAAAATGACATTGTCCTCAATGTCATACAATAAAGAGCAAGGAATAGAGAAAAGAAAAGAGTTAAGAAATGCTATGATCATGAGTTCGTGTATTAACTTTGGGTGGCATGGTTGATCTGCTAAAGGAAGAAGGGAATATATCACTTGAATTGGTTGAAGATTGCATGGGTTGTGTTATAGTACAATGTATTTATAAAATTTATAATAAGAGAAAAACATTAAAGAGAACACAAAATTTTATACTTTTAAGATGACTTTCCATATTCCCAATACTACATAGATACATGTCCTAGTTTTTTAAAACTATGTCCAACATTTTTATCAATATCTATACCTTGGATTTGACATGTTCTATTAATTTATTATAAAAGTAGTGCATACTTTACTCTTATACTACTTGCACTAAGGATAACTAAGGCAAAATAATAATTTTTGTATCTACACCTCAATTAAGTTATAACCTTCTTATAGTAATAAAATTAGTTTGGTCCACCATTATGACTATAGAGAGGTTTTATTGCATTACTAGGGATGGGCGTGGGCCGGATCGGGGTCGGGGTCGGGGACCCTTGTCTCCCCCGGTCCTGGCTCGAAACCCGAACAGGGAATTCGAGGAATCTTCGAAATCCCCGTTTGGGGGTTTTACATCCTTGAGCCAACCTTATCATTTTCTCCAAATTATAATGTATATCATCTAAAAAGAAATTAAATTTATAATGTACATATTAAACATAATACATATACATTATATATATATATATACCACACGGATTACTAGACCTTAGAGATGCTGTCAGAAAATCATGGAGTTTATGCATGTGGGAAACTATGATAGCTGACCTAAGCGGAGCCAATTAACACAACGATCAGTCGAAATGATGGTCAAGGCCCTCCTTTTATCCCACACAAATGTACACCCACACAGCTTCTAACATCATCTAAAAGGGCTAGTGAATATTAAACAATCACATAAATAGAGAACATGAATATAAATGAAGAACATGTACAGAAATGAAAAACAAGAACATAAATGAAAACATAAATATTAAACATGCTAAAAAACATAAATTAAAAGCATATATGGGATCTTTTGCTATCTATAACATTATCAGAGTATTACAACATCCTTGAGGTTGAGGGAAAGTTAGCAATATGAAAGAAACATGGAAGAATTATAGCAAAGATGTGTAGAGAAAGTATGGGAGAGAAAAGTGAGAGAAATAAACCAAAGTTTTATAAAGTTCCTCCTCCTCCCTGAGAAGGTAAAAGACTTTATTTATAGATAAAAGGGGTACAACCACTCATAAAGGAAACATTAAATACAAGACTAACCTTTTTGACTTTTGGTTTTTTTTTTTTTTTTTTTTTAACATTAAGTAGCCTACAATTCTTGACAAAACATAAGCTTACCATACTTGACTTTTTACAAAGGATACAGGAGATATTACATTGAAATGGCAAATTACCATTTAGTCCACTCCTAGTTTACATAAAAGACACAACTATTTATTTTAGGGCACGCAGGTCTTTAATCATCTGACAAGTTGGTAACATTCCACGAGTCTTCATCCTGGAAGTCGAGACAACCCATTGATTGAATACAGTCAGCAGGGATGTGTCGGGGAAATGTATCTGGATGAGCATCTGAAGAGATGTCTGGAATCTGAGATGTTTGCTTTACAGATGTACTTGGTGCACAAATGTATTGTTGTCGCATGGATTTATGGAGATAGTAATTACGATACTGCTGAAGTTCTTCTTCTTGCACACTATCTGGCTGTGAGTCTGGATACCACCATTCTGGATAATCTGAATTGGTATCGAATTGAGTATTGATGGAATGTATGCATGTCTGTTTGGCTTGGAGTAATTTCTCAGTGTAGTCTGGAGGAAAGAGTTCCCATGGAGCATCATTGTGAAAGGATGGCTATATTGCATCTGGAATGATCTGATTTTTTTCAAAAATGATTTTTTGAATTGATCTAGTCTCAACAGGATGATTAAAAATATTATGGACGAGGTCATATGGATAAGACCGAGGAAATGTGAAATGATGCTGGGAAAAATATAGGCCATCAGACCAGATGGAGTGATGTCTGTGAAAAAACATTATAAACCATGCCATTTTGGTAGACACGGGACCTTTGTGTCGGCAAAGTTGGTGAGCAAACACAGATTTCCATTTGTCTAGGGTTTTGAACCATCGGATAAAAGTCATCAAAGAACGTAATTTAGGGGTTGAGGTTGACTGGTATTGGGAAATTATTTTCAACATATGATGGATTGGGAATTGAATAGCAATGTGGTATTGGTGTAACATATACCAAAAGAACCATAATAATTCTTCTGGAAATATGATATCAAGACCTGGAGGTAAACAAAAGATTTTTGAAAAGGGGTAATCTGGATGGACCCCTAACATATCATACATGTATTGACCACATTTTTCAATGCATTAAAGTTGGTAAGAAAACATGAGGGTGGTAGCATTTTCATCAATGGTACGCGTTTGAACAAGGTCATCGAATTCAGGAGGTACGTCTGGAGTATGGGTTGGTGAAGAGGATGATGAACAAGAACTGGACTGGGTTAATGGTTGGAACATAAAACATGGAAGAGGTTTGGATCTAGGGTTCATGAAACCAACTTGTTTAGTTTTAGGTCTGGATAAATAATCTGCAATGGTGTTGGTGTGACCTTTGATATGCTGGACGGTGAAGGAATATTTACTGAACCATTCTGCCTGGTGAAGTAACTGCTGATGTGGAACCTTTTTCTTGTGGAAAAGTAGCATTTTATCAAAAGACTTCATATCCATTTCAACAAAGAAATGATGTCCAACAAGGTGGAATTCAAACCGTTCAATGGCATTTTTGACTGTTAATACTTCCTTGAAAGTAGAATGATAATGCTGCTGGTGTGGTTTGAATTGTCCACTCTGGTATCCGCATAGATGTCGTACCTTGTCCTCATTTTGTTCAAAAAGCACTGCACCCCAATGAGTGTCACTAGCATCCGTTTGAAGAATGCGTTTCCCCAAAGAAGGTATCTTCAATGGCTATGTATGGAAGGATGCGCGCTTGAGACTCTTGACTGCATTTGTCTGCCTTTCAGACCATTCTGGAGGATTCTTCTTAAGTATCTGGGAAAGTGGAGTA